TTTTTCCTTTGCTAAAAATGCAATATTTGTATATAACTATAACATATTAACATATTATTCTAATATAAAAAGAATCGTAAACTGTAATCAGTTCATATTATATTGTTTAAACCAATGACCCAGTGGGCCGGAGGGGACTGCTTGCGCATTACTTCTTCCGAGGAATTACAGGTTTGGAGCGTATAGATATAAAAATAAGACTAATCGTAATGTGTGTAAAAATAAAATTATTAGAATGCATTAATAGAGGTATATTGAAAATTCCTATGTATAATATTTTCGATAGAATTAACAAACACTACAGGACACAGATATAATATTTTATGTCCGCGACAAACACTGAAACCACGCATCGCACACACGTATAATATTGTTTCATGCTCATACATAATAATATTATTTAGTATTTCTGTTATTTATTTCGCTGAGTAGTATTAATGTAATTTAAACTTTAAAGTTATAAATTTATTGTAATCATTATACTCGTATAGCCGTATCATGGATGTTTTTAAAAATAATAAAAAACAATTGGGAGGAGCTGCTAAAGATCGAAATAAAAAAAAAATTAAATTAATAGAGGCAGCTAAATTGGCTGTTATAAAAAATGAATTAAGAAGCACTATGGGACAAGAGCGACTTAACGCATTGCTATTTTTATTCATTGAGCAAAAATTAGTATCTGACATATAGATGACATTATTGATGAATTTAAAACTTTTTCACAAAAAAGAAGACTTGCTCTTTAATAATAATATATATGTTATATGTATATATGCATATTGTATAAATATATTCCTTGTAAATTTTTAATGTCCTGCACTCCTGCGTTATATTAATAATATAATAAATGGCTTAGTTTTATAAAATAATTTTCTAATAATTATTATATATGTATAAATATGTACAATAATATTATATTATAATTATTATATTAATAACACTTATCCCAAATAATTTTATGATCAAGAGTCTAGACCATTTAATTATTATGATTGTTAAGGAAAATTTGAATATAAAAAAAAAAATTTGGGCCGTTTAGTTAATATGCTGCCTCTGTAAATGAAGTCTAGTCACGCCTATGACAACCCCTAATACAGGCCCTAATGATATAAATAATTTAGGAACGTAGGCATTTATCCTAGCCTTTTACGATTTTTTATTCGAACAACATTAATTTCAAACAATAAAATCTATTAACGTTTATGAAATTATTTTTCTTACATAATTCTAAAACAATATTTTTACTGTCATAATTATTTAAGATTTTGTGTTTTTGAATGACAGCATACATTTAAAATTTTATATTCCAAAACTAGCACCGGTGAAACTCGCTATATGTGAACACCTTAGGTCGGTGAAACTCGTTGTATGTAAATATTATCCTAACTCCTAAGTAGCTGAAAATCGCTTGAAGTGAATACCCTAGGTCGAAGACAGGACTTTAGAATACCGCAGTTAGAAAAGTTTAGTAGACGAAACCGGTGATAATGATGTTTGAGACGTTGGTACCTTTGATTTGGTGGCTTTACACTTTGGCGGTGTCATTTTGAACGCGTAAATAATAAAAGTATATAAAAGTCCAATTCGAGCGTCTAGTGATCAGTCATTACATTAAATTCACAGGTGTAATACACCTTGTCCTGTGCTTTTGTGTATGGAAAATAAATAAATATACTCCGAAATGATAATTAAGTGTCTAGCTAACAGTCATCGCTCAGTGAACATCGATTCCTGGCTAAGTAATCCGCTTACGGCGGATTGTTATACCTCCTGACGTCAAAGGCGTTGTGCTGTTCAGTACGTAAAAAAGTTTAAGTCGAATCGAGTACTTGATTTTCAAGCGATCACCATTGAAAATCCAGTTAAACGCATTTAAACCTCCTAGATAGGTGATCCAACTGCGTCGGATCGCAGACAATGTGGGCGTAAAGGGAAGATTTTAAATGTTTTATGGAAAATACATGTCAAACGTTAGCAATCTATGGTAAATAGTGAGTTAAAGATCAAAAAAAAAAAATATAAATATTTAATTTTTTTTTTTTGATATTTTATAAAATAGTTAGACATCGAAAAGAAATATGCACTTTCCGTGATAACGAAAATTACAATTAATTAACAATATTTAAAAATCAAAAAAAAAAAATCTGGCGGCTGTAGGTAGGTATATAATTTAATGAGCCGCCCAGTATCACAAGAACGGGATTCGAACCTACCTAGGTACCTAAAAATGGAGAAACCTATCCTAATACCTATCGACTATCGTTTGAGTTGAAATCAATAATCGCATCTTGAGGATTTAAACCGTTTTAGAGTAGTAACGAATACTACATTACACGTCGTTTAACCAATGCAATTTTTACAATTCGTGTATCATGAATTATGAAACCGTAAATCGCATATTTATTGTCGTTTAGAGTATTTCTGATGTATTCATTTACATTAATTAATTGTATATGTCTTAATGATATATTAAGTTTATTATCACATATATACCTATACACATATATCATGATATCACACCAAATGTAAACAAAAAATTGAATAATATGTAATTAAAAGCATTACACCGACTTAAGAGCAAACATTTTTCGATCTGTTTTTGTAATACATATAAGAATCTGTTAAACCCGACACATGTCAACAATCGTATGAACGTTTTTTTTTTTATATACACTTATTTGTATTTTATACGCTATTGAGATAGTACTGATTAAGTCGAGGAGGTGTCCGAGTGTTCAGACACCGAAATTAAAACAACACGTATTCAATAGGGATAAATAATTATTGTAAACAAAAAAAAACAGTAGTATAAGTGACAATACGATAACCGACCGAAGAACATACTGCGAATACCTACGCATTTTCCGAACGCGATGGCAACGGCTACGAACGGAATTCGGAGACACGCGGCAAACGCGCGGCTCGCAAAAGACGCGTCCTACGCGATTAGAAAACGCGCGGACGCGAAAAAGGCGAAACCGATTCGTGCAAAGAGAAAAACCGTAGTTAAATTAGCGGGCGGCCGCTTGTGTTACCACTACGTCTGCGACCGAGGACCAAATCCGCACGAAAAACGCACACAGACGGAACGAAAACGACACTCTCTACGCGACAGGATTGAGAACGCGACGGGAAAAGGTCTTGAAAGGCCGGAAAAACAGGCGAAAAAAGCAAAAAACGATAATAACAGTTATAAAGACGACCAATAACGATAACGGGCTGTCGACGGCGAGAGATAACGACGGTCAGACATAAGGATAGAAAAAAATCTAATTTTCTGTTTGGCAGTTCACTATACCTATATCGGAAATAAAGCGAACTATTCTTCGTTTTATATTATAAGATTATAAGAAGAAGAAAATATGAAGTCAGTATAGGTACATTTATATTTTATAATATCTATAATGGTACTTTACAATTATTATGACTTACCTTTCTTTACGTGGCAATGTGGCATAAGCATAATTTAAAAAAATGTTATAATATCTAGAATTGAAATTAAAAATTAGAAAACTTAAAGAGGAAGATGTTCAGCATTCAGACATTTAATTTAAAATACTAATAAATGAATTGTCGCACTTTTGATGCCATATGAGTTCAACCAAATAAATATCTAGACGTTGACGAGTCGTACACTCGTACCTCTATGTTTCTTGTGCCATTGAAACTATTTAGAGCATAGATTCTCAACCTTTTCTGGTCCATGAACTCTTTTAAAGTACAAAATATTATCACGGACCCCCACCAAAAAAAAAAAAAAAAAATATATAATTAAATAAATGCGAACAAGACATTATTATTGTTCTCTTAAAAATGCTATCGAAATAAATTTATTTCTGAGTAGACCCCCGAGTAATCATCTACGGACCCCCAAGGGGTCCACGGACACCCAGTCAAGAACTTATGATTTAGAGGATCCCCACAATCAACACAACCTTTCGACATTCTGCATTTCTGTGTATAAGCACAGAGAATCAAGAAAATTGTAAGTGTGAATAACGGTTAAATAGTTAAAACCAGCATTCTGTAGGTTCATTTTATAATCTGTTTTATAACCACACCAACAGTCGGAATAGTTTGCCTTGATTTATAATGTTTATATTGTCTTTTATGACTTATATAAGTCATAACTCATTACTCTTACGTATAAATGCAGTCCTATACCTTTAATTTCAACTAAAAAATTTTGGATTTTATTCCTAATTTTTGTACCTAATTAATTAATAATTTTGAATTCATTTTATAAATTACGCCGCATAAAAAAGGTAGTTGTTATCTAATTTATATTTTGTACAAATTATACACAAACATATTATTTCACGTATCAAAAAACTGTAATAAAAAAAAATTGAACTTTTTAACCTGATTAAAACCTTAAACCAATTCAGCTCATCTTAATAAAATACCTTTTGTAAGTAGAAATCAATTTATCATGTTGGTTAGGGGCTTGGAAACCAATTCGTTACCAGCATTTCCACTCCTCTTCGGCTATTTTCAGTGTAATCTCTCTGATAACTTTATTGAGACAGATATTATCCGCTTAAATTTAGGCAACATTGCAATTTGCAACAAATTGAAAGTTAATGGGTTGAAGTTTATTCCTACTTCATTTTGATAATGAACAAAAATGGTAAACTTCCTCCATATTTTACCAAATCACAATCCTCTAAATGTAGGCTTAGAGTGCTCCTTATTCAGACATAAATTTTCGAACAATTAGTTTACGCGATATACAAGATAAACTTAAAACCTAAATATATTTAAAATCATGAAAACAACTATTTTTTTACGAGTTAGTTCTTACTTCTTACAAGTTGTATTTTAAAATTAATAACACTCGAACAGTCGAACCAGTTGAGTTGAACAAATTGTAGAATAAATAAATATTTGCATCATTTTCCCTTGTACATACAGTGGATTCAGACAATTCATTTATGAGACGTGGCCACCCTGCGAGTGTTATCAGCTAAGAATATCTAAATAATAGAAGTAACAAACAATAATATTAATATTCTATATTTCTATATTATTCACTTGTTATAAAAATCAAGAAAACTTTAACCGTCCCCTTAGTGCTTAGTCATTCTTATTTTGTGATGCGAAAAACAAAAATAAACTGGTTGCAAACAGGTTAGTCATAGGCCATACTGCCATAGCGATAGCACTTAAACTCAGTATTGAGCTCTACATACTATTTTATGCTCTTCTATTCAGTGCCCACTGCTCAGTGGTAATATAACTTCTAAGTTATAACGTGTTATAAGACGATTCGTATTTGTTGAATCGCAGTACTATTAGGTTGAAGGTTGTTTTTTATTTTCATTATTCCGTTCTCATATTCTGTGCTGACCTTGAAAAGTTCAAACTTGCAGTTAACATTACGAGCAAATAAAAAAAAACATTTCTGTAAGTATCTATTGCCGTCTCCAATTTTGTTGGGAAAAAAAATCCTATTTTTTTCTAAAAACCTTTATCTGCATATGATTTAATGATGCATTTTATTCTTTTCGATGCAGTATTAATTTTTTTCAGCTTAATGGTTGTTAAAATCTTGAAATTCCCCAAATTAGAAAGTATATTGACTACTTGAATATATTGAAGAATTATTTCTTTATAATGTGTAATAAATAAAATCCCTAAGTTCTAGACAAAATCAATAAAACAATATATCTTTAAATTATAACAGCAAGAACTTTTATGGTTGTGTTCCTACACTCATTATAATTTTTCAAATTCAATAACTTTTTATAACTCTTAAACAATATTTATAATAATAAATTACAATAAACTTCTACCTATTAAACACAAACGTGAGAAAATAAAATGGATTATATTCAATTAATTGTATAGATCTTATTATTTTAAACATTGTATTTATAATTATTTATATTTGATATTATATTAAAATGTATATTATTCTATTTATGTTTATTTAAAATTTTAATTATTTTTTTATTGCATCGATAGTTGTTGTCTGTCGTAAATTTATTGTGGTAATTTCTATAACAACATTTTAATAGGTACCTAATGTTTTTCCTTCTTTTATGCCATGATATTAGTTTTTGCGCTATAATAATAATAAGTTTATAATACCCTTTCATCCTGATGTATATTACACTATGTCAGTCTATGATGTAAATTTAACAAAAAAATACTCAGTTCAAATTTTTTTAATAAATATTTTTACTACTATTTCTAAGATTTTTAAATTTTATAGGTATTTATTGAAAAATTAAACAATATCTATGATGGAGTCAGAACTGAAAAATCAGGATTACTTACTAGAACAGTTAAGAGCTTTACGTGCAGAAAGAGAATTATTAACAAAACATGTATTTATACTTAACGAGTGTTTATCTGTAGAAGAATTAAAAGCAAAAATATCTAATCTGGAAAAGAAGAAAGAGATGTTGGGATCATTGGAAAATGTAATTGGAAGATTACGTGCTGAGATTGAGCCACTAAAATATTTGAAATCGATTTTAAAAACTAAATTAGGTGATGAGAATAAAATGCAATCAAATAATATTGATACACAATTATTTACTGATTTGGAAGCATGTGTTGAAATTGAGTCGCTAAAGAATTTAAAAACTAAACTAGATGTTGAAAATAAAATTCAACCAAAAAACATTAGACAAGAGTTATCTATCGTGGAAGCTAATGACCCTAAATTAGATATGGAATTTTGCAACAACATATCTGATGATGTTCAAGTAGTACAATCTGTTGGATCTAAAACTTTTGTTTCTCAGAGTACACAAAACATGCTGGCTGATTCTGTTAAAACTGATTTGTGTCCATACCCAAAGTTAAATAATGAACTCATTGGTGCATTCCAAATACCAATGTCATCTACATCTAACTCTGTGTCAACTGTAAATGATGGTAGTCTTGATGAAAGTATTCAACTGTTAGATCAGTATGATGTTGTAACTGATCAAGAAATATTAAATTTCTCTACAGAAGAAGTCAGTATAATTATTTTTTTAAATATTTTTAAATTTTAAGCTCTTATAATTTATTGTTATAGAACAGTTTGAAAAGTCAAAGTGTTGATCAAGAACCTACTAATATTTGTGTTGACAACAAAATACAAAATACACAGAAAGCAACAACGAGCACTAATTTTGATGCTGGAAGCATAAATGCACATGTGAAAGACCAAGTACCTGTAGAAGTAAAATTGTTTCCTTATCCAAAACACATATGTTATTAATATTAAATTTTAATTTTATAGAAAGATCTTGGCTTTGAAGAAACACATGAAGATAAAAATAGTAAACTTCACAAGGCTAGTACATCTCAACCATCGACTGTAACTATTAGTGTTAGTGATTTATTACAAAATTTACCACAATTATTATTGCAACAAGGATTCAATTATAATCAAGTTAGTTTATATTATGTGTTTTATATTAATTTTATATTTACTCAAATATCAATTATTTTATTTTATAAAAAATAGTTCTGATATAACATTTTTAACTATAAAATATACCTATCCACAATTAAAGTAGAATTTATGGAATTTAGTATAGTATTGTGTTTGGCCACAATCACTGAATTTAGTGATCTAGTCAAGCATCGCCCTGTATGGCTTGTTCAGATAGGTGACAACTTGGGCTCTTAGCAAAGGCGCATTAAAAGTTAATATGTAGGAGAGGAAATTATTTTGTGTCCTTGATATATTTTATGATTATTTATATGAAAGTATAAATAACTTAAAAAAATTAATCATTTCCATTTCATATAAATATTAAAGCTACAAAAAAATCTTTTTATACTAATTAGTAATCATCTATTTGGAACAGTGATCTTTTTTTTTTTAAAGTACTGGAAGATGGAATGTTTATATTTTATTAACTAATAAATTGTAAGTTACCCAAAAAACAGAGTTACACAAATTTATATTTGTAGTTTGTAGATTATATGTTAAGCATTGATTTGACTTTAAAATGATTTCCCAACTAGTAATTTCATAGAAATGCAATTCTTGATTTTATCTTTCTTTTGATTGGCCAAATTTCTAAATTTTGCGCCACTTGGTTTTCTTTTTGTTCTGCAATACTCGACATAGTTGAAAAAATGAATAAACAATTTAATTAAAAAAATAATAAACAAAATCTCACTACATAGATCCATAGCTTGTACAATAAGTGTCTATACAGTATAATAATAATTAATAATACATAATATTATCAGGAAGATAATAAGAAATAATAACACACGCAAAGCATACAGCTATATTACTGGTATGACTTGAAATAAAATTTTATTTCCACAATAATTATAGAATTATTCTCTCTCGTATCATTTATGATCAACAAGAAGTATAAAGTGGTTACAAGACTGTAACAACCAACAAATACTATCCAAATATTCTTTATATTACTACAAATACTCGTATACACTATCACAATATATATAAATATAATTATTTGTATACATGTTTATGTATAATATATTATTACATAAATGTCCATATACTTTGAAATAATTTTATTTACCTATATAATATATATAATACATTATTATAGTGTTGTTCGAGTACTCGACTTTGGGAAAAATTTTCGAGTCGAGTACTTGAACTCGACTCGACTCGACTAAAAAAATTTTGTATTCGTAAATACGAGTACTCGACTTGAACCAAATACTCGAATTGAATCGAGTACTTGTTTCAGTGTTTCACTATATAGTATATTATGTAAAAATAATTATTAAATGTTGAAACTATAAATAACTGAGAGAACCCAAATACGAGTATTCGCGATAAGAATTCTAGGATGGTTGATGGTTTAAACTTTAAATTATTAACAATATTATAGTAACTATAGTAACCTAAATATCAATTGCTGCATGTATGAAAGATCGCTGAGAACGGATATACCGACTTGGGTGATTTTTTTTTTTAATATTCTGGAATTGTCTAATACTCGACTCTTTTTTCGAGTACTCGACATTTTTCGAGTACTCGAATTTTGAACTCGACTCGACTCGATGTAATTGAAACTCGATTCGACTCGACTTGACTTCAAAAAACCAATACTCGCCCAACACTACATTATTATAATAATTATTAATTATTGTTATTGGCTGTTTCTCAATTCAGTATTTTATAATACCTTGTGTGGAGTAAAAAAGCTTATTGCATAATATACCCAAAAAAAAATGTACTGCCCTTAAAAATGCATATGTCTCTTCCCCCCCCCCCCCTCACTTTTATACGCCCCTGATTCTTGGTGGTAAAGTCAAATCCCACATATGAGAACACATATTTCAAAAATTTATTCTATGGTACCCTACAGTAATAAAAAAAAAAGTAAATTTACAAGAAAATGGCTATTCTAAAATAAACTAATTAAATTAACATATAAGTATTTTTTTATTTCAGTTTAGTTGCTTTATATTCCATAATAATTTACTTTTATATTTTAAATATTACAGGGTGAAGAAGAGTCTAAAATAAATGAAAATGTTAATACAAATGTATTGTCAAAAGAGAATAATAAACGCAACAAGAAAAACGAATTGAAAAAAGAAGTGAATAAATTCTTAAATGACTATACAAATTTATTGCATAATAGTTCACAAGTATGTTATCTATTATTTTTTTCAAATTTTCTTATTTTCAAAAAACGATTTTTTTCCAGACAATAGAAAACAATAATGTATCTTATAAACAAATAAAATCGAGTCAACATGATGAATTTTCACCTAATGCCATTAATTCTGAATGTAGTATTAATAACTTCAATGATATGAATTTAAAAATTGATGTCTTGCGTGGCATATACTCTCTCGGTTTTGTCAAACCTACTGCTTTACAACAACGTATTATTGTACACTGCATAAATGGACAAGATGTAATTGTTTTTACTGGACCAGGTAATGGTAGAACAATGATGTTCACCATACCATTACTAGAACGCATTGAAATTAATTTAAATCAGTGCCAAGCATTAGTATTAGTACCAACTCGAGACCTTGCCGTACATATTCAAAAGGTATGCTATGACTAAAGTATAGATTTTCATAGCTATTTTTATGTTTTTACTAAATTTGTGTATCAAAACTAATTTAATTTAAATAAAATACCATCAGTTATATTTTTTATTATCAAATAAATGTTTTAATAAAAATATTCTATATTACATCACAAAAGTTAAATATACTGGTTGTCATTATCTAAAATTAAAAATGAATCTATATTTTATTGTTCTTATATTTTTAATATTAAAATGTAGGTGTCTTAAGTATTATTTTAATTACAAAACATTACATACTATATAATTTTACTTTTTATTATTTTATTGTTACCTAAATTTTTTCTTATTATAGATTATCATGAGTGTTGGTGACTTTATGGGTGTTAAAGTATGTATTGGCGGTGACAATGTTCCAAAAAAACTATCTGTTGTTCCACATATAATTGTTGGTACCCCATCTGGAATATTTAATATGATATCATGTAAGTCACTACATACTGAATGGATTCAAACAGTTGTAATCAACCAAGCTGAAAAGATGTTGGCTAATAACTACACCAATTTAATTAAGGAAATCATGAATAAATTAAATCAGACCAAACAAGTCACTATATTGACATCAGGCAAACTAGATCATGTATTAGACATTTACATGGAATCTTTGAATGATGCTCTGGTTATTATTAATAACAATGAAAAAGATAACAATCTGCTTAAAGGTATGTCACCATAAGTAATTGCCTATTAATAACATTTATAAATTTATAATTTTGTATATCCTTTTTTATTTCTCAATGATATATGTCATTTATACTATTCAAATTGTTTTATTTTAATCATAGATCTTCCAAAACAGTTTTATTTAAACATTCAAAATGAATGGAAAATGAATGCACTTTGCGAAATCAGTGAAACATTGAAAATACAGAGATCTGTCATATTCTGCAACACTTTGGACAGAGCACGAAAACTATGCGAATCATTACAAAGATTGGAATACGCAGTATCACTTTTTCATTTGGAAATGAATGCACAAGAGCGCGAGCAAATCCTTAATATGTTTTTTTCAAACGATTTAAAAATGCTCATCACCACAGATCCAATCAAAGGCAGCCAGTTTCAGAAAGCTGCTTGGATAATAAATTATGATTTACCAATAAATTCTATTTGTTATCTTGATAGAGTAGTTAAATGTGCTGAAAATATAAAAGTGATAAATTTCATTGATGAAAATGATGAACATACAAAATCGGTTATTGAAACATATAACAAATCTTATATGATTCAGATGCCCCTGAATATGGTTGATTTGTTACAATATTAAACTCATATAATGATAACAATTTTATCTTAAAATTAAGTAGTATAATATTCATTACTATGATAAATAATAGAAGATACATATTATATTATTCTACTATTGAACTAAACTTCTAGGAAATGGGGTTTTGTTTATGTTGGGACTTAAATTGCACTTTTATTTTATTTTTATGGTAATTTAGAATGTTTCTAAACTTAGAATTAATTTTTTTATTATTTTAACTTTATGTAATTTGTTTATGAGTGATATGAGAATGTTATTCAAAAAATAATAAATTTTATAACAATATTTTTAAAATTATAAATTTATATTATCTTAGTTTTTCTCTTGATAATTTTTTATATTTTCTTTTCATAGTTAATATTTAAACTATTTTATTGAGTTATCAAAAATTTTATGTTATTATTACCATAATAGATGTTTATATCAATATTTTAATATACTAAAGCATTGGTTGAGTTTACTATATGTTAAGAGTACATGATTTCACAAACGCCATTCTAGTTGTATTTGTTTAAGAATCACCACTGTAAGTTTTACAGATACATGGTATTAAATGTACCATTGATGATAATTTGATTCAAATTTTGTTAATGGTTTTTTATTAAGCTAAATTAATCATAGTAAATGATTCTGACAATTTATTTTAAGAAAGAAATGCTGTTACGGAAGTTAGGCAGTAAGCTAGATTGATAGGTGCTACTTGATCTTTCAAAAGAATGTTTAACATAATATTCATTATTCATACAAGCTTATACTCTAATTATAAGTAGATACTGTAACGAATACTATTATAACTCACTTTAAACTGTATACAAACCAATAAGAGTACACACAATTTGAATTTATTAACTTAATTTTTTCTTATTTTTGTAAGTTTTGTACTTACTTAATTGAGATAAGAATGTGACAGAAAACTCAAAAGTAAATATTCAGCATTTTTATTGAATGAATGAGTAGTTGTATGTATTGAGTTTTGCTTTAAAAGTGTCAACACTAACACCAGAAACAGTAATAGGTCACTCCAAAACTGTAGAATCGTGTAAGGTGTGTACAATGATGAGTGGTAAATACAGACATTCATATATTGGTATAGATAATTATTTGATTTTGGAGATTTCTAATAATACAGTGTGACGTCGATTTGAACCGACTTTGTTGTATTTTATATATGATCATTGGTCTTAGTAGGCTTGAATTCCAATTTTCAAACAGATTTACCAATTTAAGATTTTAATGACAGAAAGAGTGATATAGGTACTGATATACATTTTATTCGTCGGGAACATTCAATTTATTAATTGGATCACATTAGTTTGTGAATGTCTTTTTTTCTTTTTCTTTTTCTTTTTCTTTGATAAAACAAGGGAGTACATAAAAACACGTTTATATAGAAACATCATTTAAAATTTATCATCTCGGCTCCCACTTTATATTCAGTTGGACATTGTGATGATATCGCTATATTGGGTGGTACACAGTACACATATTTAAATTTAAAAACCTTGATAACAAATGGTTTTTGTGTTTTAACAAAGCTGATTTGTGGGTACCTACGCCAATTTATTCGACTTTTGAGTGTGCTCTGTTATGCATTAGTCGTGGTGGTAACATGGTAATTTAATTGAAACATTAACACGAATACCGATTACCGAGATACGGCATAGTCTTTAAATTGTACCTGACGTTTTAATTTGTTGGCAGCTCTTGTACGTCAAATTGGCTATTAAGTTATAATAGCAGGTAATCTGTTTTTAATTGCTTATAACAATTTATCTAAATACTTACATAATAAAAATATAAATTTAGCTATACTTATGTGTAAATCTATTATTTTTGAAAATAAGATACCTACAAATTTACAAATAGGTATCTACAATTACTTTAAATTATTTATGCTTATTATAAATATAGGTCTACAATGATCTACTAAATATTTTATTAAGATAATATTGTCATAATAACACCCGGAAAACTATAGGTACCTACCTATATAATGTCTTCAATGGTTCACAGTCGGAATAGATCTATCTCATAGCAATTCGCTTATTATTTTATAAAGTTTAGATAAAAATAATTGTATATAGGTACTAGCTAATATTTGACAACTAGAGAACTGTTTCAGTGTAATTTCATTTACCTACTTCGAATCAAAGTGCGTTTCTCGATGGTAATCTTTTAATTAATATTGTAGGCAGTTTTAGTAAATTTAAGTGGAATCATGGAATTCTTGGAAAGTAAAAGAGGATGTCGAATGGTAGTATATAATAATTTTAAATATAACTTTGGATCGATGAGTAAAAAGACGGCTTTACTCGTTTGAGATATGTACAACTGTACAAGAACTTGCAGTGCACTAATGTATTCAGACAAGAATGATTTTCTTATTTCAACGACTGGAGAACATAATCACGACTCTTACGGTCTAACAAATATTCATCGCCAAATTTTAAATGTAGGATGTAAACGTAGAGCTGTAAAAAATATACATATACAACTGAAAAAAGTAGTTAAAAAAAAATTACTCACAGTGACCACGCAGCATCAACATTTACTGTATCTGATATTAATAGACAGAGAAAAAATAAATATAAAGCTCGTAAAAGTCTCCTTCCACCAAATTCTACTACTGGAAAAAATAGTTACTACTAGAGGAGTAATTTACATAAATAAATAACAGTGTTTCCCAAAGTGTGTATTCTAAAAATGTGATCAAAAAGTACTAGGTATAATATTCTTGAGTGAAAAGGGAAACTATTTTAAAATATTTGGGCGAAAAGAGACGTGGACAAAAATCGAAAGGTCATTTTTGGGCGTAAAGAATCCCACCCCGTAAACATACGTTGGTTTCCAGTATATTTTAATAAATTATTTGAAAAATGTAAATACATATTTATTATAGCCAATATATTTTATGAACAATTTTTTTTTTTTTTTTTATAACAAATAGCTAAATTATTTTTTTCCCAGAATTACCAGTAATTGGATTTTTGTACCCAATGGAAAACTGACTCATATATCAACTTTTAAAAAATTAATTTTTAGTTTAGTTACACATAAATGTTCTTGTATTTCTATCCTTTTAAATTTTTGTTGATGAATTATCTTAAATATCAAATATCAATCAAAACTCAAATAGGTACAATTGAACGGTAATTTCGTTAGAATGTATTTAAAATTATGTTTGTTAGGTATTTAAATGTTTGTAGTTTGTTTAAATCAAATTTAACATTTAACACACAACAGTTTTAGTAAATTATCGTTTTTTTCTATGAACTCGTTTTTGGATAAAATAAGCACACACAATAATAATTTTAACTTAAAAGTTTTAAAATGGACGTGAATGGTATCTACTCAAGAAACATCGTTATTAACAAAATATAAGAAAAACTTAAATTTAAGCTGGAAAAAAATGTTTGTTTCATTTGAAGATGATGATAATAAATAATGATAATACATTGACGAGTATCTGAAATGTATTTTGAAAACTTGTTATAAGAATTGGGATTTGGAAGTACAAAAAATTCAAACAGCTAAATTTATTCTTAAATTTGATAAAGTATTCTCGATACATTTTTGATGTTAAAATAACACAATTGACAATATCACTTGTTTTAAAAACTTTTCTTTTCAAAATAAACACAAAATATACCAACTGGTTCAGTCAAAACTGATTTGGTTTCGTCGTCAAAATTATATGATGACATTTCTGGTATATTTCAAATGCCATCTAATCATCTTAATATTCTTAATGTGATATAAGTAATAAACATCTAATATAATCGTATAGGAAATTAATTTCCTTTAATATCAAAATATTTTTGGTTTTTTTTTTAACGATGCAAAATGAAAAATTATAGTAAATTAGTAAAAATAAACATTATATATTATATAGCTTATTACACTAGCGAAGAATAAAAACATTTTCATTTGTCCTTAATTTATTTTTACCGATTATTTTGAAACGTATAGGGAATTTTCAATTTTTAGCTAACAGCTAGATCTAATTTTCTATCAGAAATCACCCCAAAGTTGAATATCAACGCATTTTTCGTATTATTTATCACGTATAAAATCGAAAAAAAAATTGTAAAATCAATACAAATTCATCGCTCCGATTAGAACTTAAAATTTATGATATCGAATGTTGTATTATTATTGTAGTACCTATATAAACTATAAGCCTATTAAAATTCACGCAGTAACTTTATATTTAATATTACTTTTTCTAATACTATCACTTATCAGACGGAAAACTAAATTGAAATTACGTGAATCGAGGATAATCTTTTCAAATTAATCAAATTTTGCTGCAAGGTAGCTGGTATATAATATAAACAATAAGCATTATCAAATCGTATAATCAAACATTTGAAGTATTAACTATACACATAGATAAACATCCATGGAATTAATGAAAACAATAATACGCCTGTTTATTATACGAGTAGTTGACAACATTAGAATAAAAGATAAATTTGTGAACAATAATATATCAAGCTTTACCGTGACATAAATGTGCCATGGTTTTTATTTACAAGGCTCGCGTTAGGGCCAACACTTGTATGCATTTACATATTTTTATTGGTAGGTCAAAAAAATAGCTAGCTTATACCATAATTTGTTTCATAACCTAACGATACTGTGTACAACATTTTATTTTGCATATTTTTTTATACTCAGAATATATTTTAGAATTTTTAAAGCTCAGCGAACTAAAAATCACAAAATTATTAAAATAAAAATAATAATTTTTTTTACTCATAAAAGTTATTATGGGTAATTTTCAACTTATTAATGAAAATAGATAAGGTTAAATTACTAATCTTAATCGGGAATCACCAATCGACATCGCAAAAAATGTGAAAATATTTAAAAGATAAATAAATAACGGTTCTAATATTTTTACGAAAATTTCATAAGTATTATCCGATGATGTATCCACGTTAGAAGGTATCTCAAAAGATTTTACAAGCAATGATTTGTCGCTATATAAATACGCACCTATTATATCCGTTGATGTAGAACGCTCTTTTCAAACTACAAAAATCTGTTAACGATCGGCGTTTAATATTGTTTGAAAAAACGTATCTAAATCATTAATTATTTAATACAATAATATCAATTAATTTAATTAATATGTTGTTTTGTTTAAATTATTATTCATTA